CGCCCTCTCCACGGAGCTGGGTGCTGGCGGTCAGGGCTGCTCTTCCCCGTCTTCATTCCCACATCTCCTGACACCGCCCTCCCCAGGGACAGGGACACTGTCTTCCAACCCGTGCAGCACAGCTCCCAGGAGCAGGAGCCCCGATAAGTAGCTGCACCGTGAGGGCAGCACAGGTGCTTTTAGTCTGGACGGCCTCAGTCAGCGGCCCCCCAGGACACACCGGCCCCTCACAAATGCTGGGCCCAGTGCGTGGTGGGGCAGCTCAGGGAGCCGGGGTTAGTGAGGCCTGGGGAGAGTGGGGGCATGGGGCCTTAGGAACACAGCCACGGCCAGGGCTGGGCAGAGGTTAGCGCCCGGCCCCTTTCCCTCCCCTGCCCGCTGGTCTCCTGCCACTGCCTGCGGTTGGCTGGTCCCCGCTGGAAACCGGGCAGCGAGGGAGCCTGTGCATAGTCCTTATAACAGTGGGATCTACTGGCCTGTTACCTTCGTTGTACTGAGGATGAGGACCCTGAGGCGCAGAGAGGTTAAGGAACTTGCCAAAGGTCACAGCTGGTGGGAGAACTGGAGTCCAAAACCAAGGGGACCTGATAGCTTCGGAGCAGAGGCCACACCCTCTGCCTCACTCCCCACCCACCTTGAAGCCACTTTATCCCCCAGCACAGCAGCTGCTCACGGAATGCGGCCACACCCTCTGCCTCACTCCCCACCCACCTTGAAGCCGCTTTATCCCCCAGCACAGCAGCTGCTCATGGAATGCCTCAGGGCTGTGGGCGGGAGGGAACCAGTCACCGGAGTCACTGTGGGGGGTGCCGTGTGGTGCCGGCGGTTCCGAGTGCTGCTGACGGGGAGGCGGGTGCCGCGGGGGTCCGGCCGGCACTTCCCACGAATCAGGTCATCACGTGGTGACGGGACTAGCCATGCCCAACACTCCGTGCCACCTTCTTGTTCAGAATGTTCCGGAGGCCGTAGAGTGCATGCGCCTGGTAGGTGCTTAGTAAACGTTTGAAAAGGGAGTGAGGCTTGAGGGTGGCCGAGGGACAAAGGCTCCCGGGCCTTTTTTTTTTTTAATTGATTTCAGAGAGGGAGAGGGAGAGAGAGAAACATCAATGATGAGAGAGAATCATGGATCAGCTGCCTCCTGCACGCCCCCCACTGAGGATCGAGCCCACAACCCGGGCCTGTGCCCTGACCGGGAATCGAACCATGACCTCCTGGGTCACAGGTCCACGCTGAACCTATGAGCCACGCGGGCCGGGCAAGACAAGACGGGCGAGACTTCCGGATGTTAACGTTGCTTGTTAGAGGGACATGAATTGAAATGTCTTTCTTCCTGGGTCGCCCTCTCCTGGCCAGGACGAGGGCTAAGAGGCCCAACCCTGAACTGCCCTGGTGGTTCGACCACATCGCCCCCCTGGCTGAGGCCTGGGCTCTGGGCCTGGTCGCCTGCTTAGCTAGTTATCGCCCGGGAGCACGTGCTCCAGCTTCAACCAGCAGACGTGTATCAGCCCACACCCCTGTGCTGGAGGCACCGTCAGCCAGGGCCGCCCCGGAGGCCTGGGGGGCTGGGACCTGCCTCCACACGGGCCAGGCGTGGCTGCTGGCGTCCTCCGGGGCGGCTCACTGCTCTCAGAGCAGGTGACCCGGAGAAGGGGGAGGAAGCCTCAGGCCTTGGATGAACTTGCACAATGTTCTTCCACTTCCTGTTGGTTCAGCCCACACACAGGGGAGGTGAATGAAGCCCTTTAAGGGAGGTCAGGGAGTCGGGCGGGTTCTCAGCCACCAGCTGCCCAAGCTGGGAGCAGCCCCTCCTGGGCAGGCTGTGGTTTGGCGGTGGATTGGGAAACGGCCGTCCAGCACCTGCGGGGCCTCAAGCCCAG